GACAATTAATGGACTGCAGGACTCTATCCCTTCCTCTAACCACGGCTTTAACTCCCTGTCCTGTAACCATCAAACACTGCCACTGGTTTCCTACAAAGCTTTGGAGCGAGGGGAACATGAAAGAGAGTAGAGGAAGACAGCTGAGGTCCCCACTTCTCCTATGGATGTGGTAATAGTTAGGTAGGGCTAGAGGCTGCCGGTAATTGGTAGCTTGGTGTTTAAAGAGGGGTCCTTTAACTTAAATACCTCATGGGAGGTCTTTAATTTAAGCAACTAAATACGGCCCTCCCCCTCGCTCCAAGTGAGGATGGGTGTGTGTTCTGCACAAAAGTGTCCTAAGTGCACCACACATGCATGTAGTTCGACGTTATGCATTTTTGAGTCAGCACTTTGCTGACTCAAGCTTCTAGGCACACTTGCAACACACTTGCATCTGTGTGCAAACGCAAATACACACAAAACTGTGTCATTTGTGGTGCAAAGAAAAGTCTTGACAGTCCGGGGTCAAACAACAGGTTTACTGGAGTTGCCAAAAGTGTGTTTGAGGAGGGTGCATTAATGAGTGCATACAATCACCCTACTTTTAATTTCTTTTTGTTTGTTTTTTTACCATACATTTTCTTTGACTTGTTTTTTACTGCTTTAAAACACTCACTACCAGGGCTGGACTGGGACAAAAATCGCCCACGCATTTTTGGCCCTGGACACCCCTGACCAATTCACCATCCTTGCAGTCCCCTTAAATATGCTTACTGTAAGATTCCCCCAAACCACTATAAAGCTGAGCAGTAAGTGCCGTGGCTAAGTGTACCAGTGCAAGTGGATCCGTGTACCCATTCAGGTACAAGTAATTGTCAAAGAAATAAAGTGAACGTCCTCACAAAGATAGCAAAGCCTATGTCTGCACTTATCTGTTTGGACACACATTTATGTATATATGTTTGTCCTATGCAGTATACTTTAAAGGTACAAGATTGAGATATTGAGGGCTGTGTGTTTCAGTATGCAGTACAATGCAGTTCAGCACAGTCCAAAGGACCAAGTCCTTTGATCTTTCATCAGCTAATTTACATATTTACATCACCTAGGTAACCATCTGTGAACCAAAAATGTAATATTACTTGTCACCCTTGTCTATAGCAGTGCATTGAACCAACCAAGTCCAATGGATTCCATAAGCCTTGTGAGGAACCAGAACAAGATTTACTACATTTCTGGTGTAAAATGATGCATGAAGAGTAAAAATTGTGGTCAAGCCAGCGATTTAAAGGTTAAGTGTGTAAGATTTAGTGCCATCGTTATCTAAGACAGCAGATCACAAAATGAGGTTACTTTAGGTAAATATATTAAGATTATATCATATTATTATTTAATTATTCAGCGAAACCATTTGTTATTGTGACTTGGCCACTGACAGATAACATGGAAAATGTAAGCCAAGAGTGTGAAACACTGTCACTGTTTCTGCATCACAGTCCATTATAAACCACATAATAGATGAAACATGTTAATTCTCTCTGTGATTATGGACCCTTGTCAAAACTGCCTGCCAGCAATATTATCTGGACCCCAGCCAGATTATGGTGCTTTGATAGCGGCAAAAAATAAAAATTAATATTAAATACTTAGTCATGGCAGCAACAGTTCCTTACATAATCTCTTCCTCTTTAGTGGTTTTGCCTGCAAATAAAAGGGCAAAAACATTTTTACGGAAATGCTTTATTCCGGGGCCCGAATTAAAAGCTTTTACTTTGAAAAATTCTAACCACATTAAAAAAGTCTGTAGCTTGCTTTATACACCTCTGAAAACGTGATTCCCCTAAATTTCCTCTGCCTGGAGATACTGGGGAAACGAAAAAGCAGCCGTAGGTTGATGGATACAAAGCAAACACCGGATCTCACACACTGCAACACATGCCTTATTGTTTGCATCTGAAACAGTCCTTCATTATCAAATTGTTGAAGACTGGGGGCAAAAAAATGTCCCAACATGGGATCCAAACACACAACCTTCTTGGTGAGAAACTTGCACTTTACCAACTGAGCTAACACCATTATACCTAGATAAAATATGTCTTATATTCTCACCCACCATCTAGTGGATAAATTGCTCCAATGCAAGTTATTTGCCGACCCAACACTAAAGTGTTGCCACAAAGTAACACTGGTGATCTTTTCCCCTTTTTGTTTTCTTGTGGTTAGTGGAAGTTACAGTCGCGAGGACAGGGAAAGTATAGATTCATGTAGCCACGGCGGACAGATCTGACACGCGCCTCAAAAACTGCTACTTTGTTATGCCATTTGTCAAACTGAACCCTATAAACCATTGAGCTACATTTTAATTATTAAATATCATAGGCCATTACATACATTTATTATGATTTTTATAATTACTACTGATAATAATAATAAAAAAAAAAGATTTAAGAAGGGGGTCTTGGGGTCATTGAGGAAATGTCTTTATTTATATAAAAGGAAACGCAAATGCAGGTGACAATTCAAAAAATAAAAATATAGTGTAATATAGTGCTGTAAGGCTCTCAGGCATTCTGTATTGCTGTCAAATATGTTTCTCCTGTTTTTTATTTCATTTCCCTGCTGAGTCAACACACATGCAGGCATGACTGAAGTAACCTAAAGTCTTTAAATGTGCACCTTGCACCTTTTCACCTCAATGATAAATTAATTCAGTTATAAACCCCTGCACCTTGATAGCTCCTATGTTTCAGCAGCTTTTCTGCTCAAGTTCAAAACTTTCTTCACATTAAAAATCTCTCCCACATATCTGTGTTCTCTGACATTTGCAGAATAACAATTTAAGATATAATATTACGAGATATAATGAGAATTCCTTCTGGGACTGTACTGGATGAGACGAGCTCACTGCTCTTCATCAGAGGTAGAAAATCGAAACTGAAAACACTTGTGATCAGACAGAAATATTACCACACATCCACACACACACGTTCACTTCAGCACCTCTGATAAAGTTCAGCTCACAGCAGCTTCAGAGGGAATGAAGCATCCTGGAGCAGAGAGGCAGTCAAACAGAGCGAAGTGTCTCTGAGCGAGGGGACAGAGAGAAGCAAAGAGATAAAAGGGCTCAGTCTAACTCTGGGGCCCCTAGTGCCTATGAACTGTTTAACAGCGCACATCCATACAGATGGACCCCAGACAGCATGGGGGCGTACCAAAAGGCACTGGAAAATCAAAACATACATGATTTAACTCATTTATTTCTGACTGAAACATTTCCCCAGAATAATTCTGGTGTAAATTCTGCTGTGGACAAAAAATCAATTCAACATTTCATCATTTGGCTTCATTGTCTAAATTAAAATCCTCCAAACCAAAACCTGCAAACAAATGAACAATAACAAATGGTTTGAGACTGAATGCAAAAACCTGAGGAAAACTTTAGGAAATTATCAAATGAAAAGGACCCAGATTACCACAACATACGCTGTCAATATGAGCCCCACTCTGAAACAGTACACCCTAAAAACTACTAAAGAACAACACAGCAAGAAGCAGCTCTGTGAAATTGAGGAATCCCTAGAGTCCAACCAGTTCTGGGAGAAATGGAACAACCTAAACAAAACCCAGCAGGATGAATTGGCGATCCAAGATGGAAATACTTGGATTAATCACTTTAGTGAATTATACAGTAATATTGCAAAAAATTTTGATCAGTACAAGATATTCACGAAATGGAAAACTCTGGAGGGGTTGATAAAAAACAACCAAAACCCTCTAGATTACCCAGTAACAGAACAAGAATTAACAGAAGTCATCCAGTCCCTAAAAGGAAAGAAGGCTTGTGGCGTTGATGGGAATCCTCAACAAAATGATCAAATAATCAGACCATAAAATCAGATTGGCTATACTAAAACTATTCAACACTATTCTAGCAACTGGAATTTTTCCAGACATCTGGAACAAAGGTTTAATAACCCCAATTCATAAATCCGGAGATAAATATGACCCAAATAACTACAGAAATATGTGTATCCAGTAACCTGGGAAAAATATTCTGCAACATCATTAACAAACGACTTGTCAACTTTCTTGATAACCACAATATTCTGCATAAATGGCAAATTTGTTTCTTGCCAAATTGCAGCAAAATGGACCTCATATTTACCCTCCAGACCCTAATTGATCAAGAATCAAAGCATTAAGAAAATAAAGGTATATTCCTGTTTTGTTGACTTCCAAAAAGCCTTTGATTCCATCTGGCACGAGGGCCTTATTGATAGGCTACTTGAAAGTGGCATTGGAGGAAAAACATATGATTTGATTAAAAACATGTATACAAAAAGTGTGTGCAATAAAGACCAACCATTTTTTCCTCCTCTCCATGTCAACTGGGAAACCATACATTCGTGCTCCTTTTTCTGACCGACTACAGCAGCACGCAGCACAATAAACCGTGATGTAGACAGTAAGACAGTACACAGGTACAAACCACTTAACATGTTGATTTCTGAGTTTATTGGAGATTCATTTAATTAATACATGACAATCATTGATAGTCATCGTCTGTTCAATCTTAAGTCATAAAGATTACATTAGTCACTAAGATCAATTAACCCGGGTACCATGGGATTACTAAAAGGAATGTTAGAAAGGTAAATCTACAAAACATTTTTTTTTTTAATGGTAACGTAACCACATACACGTGTCAGTGTACTGTACAAATATTGTAAATCAATGCATTTACTGTATAAATTACCAAAAATCGCTTAAAATCGCCGTTTTGTCGTTTCTCCCGCTCATTTTCAATCGCCTGCCTAGGACTTCCGGGAACTCTCTGCGGTCTCCATGAACCACGTGACGTTCAAGCATTTTGGACCCCCGCTGACACAACTCTCTCTCTATAGGGCTCTGCCACCTGGAGTACCGTTTAAGTGCTTTTCATAACGGAACGCAGCCCATGATGCTGATGACTGACTGCTGTACTTACCTTAGCATTTACATGTAATCAAAGAAAATGCACATTTAAGTCAGAGTTATTTATTACAGTAATGTCTCTACAGTGTTTTGGAGAAAAAAGGGGTTAGGGTTACTGCTGATTTCATTTTCAAAACCTTGTTTTGTGGGATTTATTTTATACTACAACTGAATGACAATATGTCCATATAACAAGTCCTTACATGAAAAAGTATCACAATAATTAGCTGCAGAAAAACAACAACAATCTTCAGAGAAGCCACCATTCCTTCTTAGTATAGTTTGTCCTCAATGGTCAGCTCACCCAAATGACAAAACATGTCCACGCACTCCTAACGACATACAAGATTTGAAATATCCACCAATGACATTTCTGACATTACTCAGTTCGCCACTTTCATTAGAACTGTTTATTCAGCAGAAAATACTCCACCTGTAGCATATGTGGAAGAAAAACACTGCTGTTGAGGTTTTTTAAGGAAACTAAATTTCTAAATCTTCTGCAAATGAACATAAAGCATTTATTAGAGATACCAAATAGAGCAAATGACAATTTTCTTCTGATTTGGGTGAACAGATCCTGAATGAAAACAAAGGTGTAAAACCTGTTAAAATTTTTTTTGTTGCAATATTTAGCATACTACCTAATTGACCCTGTTGACATTTATTAAAGAGACATCCATTCACTTTAAACAGCACTGCCTTGCTACTTTTCTATTCTCAATTTTTAAGCATTTGTTCCAATTATTCTGCAGCTATCTTAACTGTCTGAGTCAGCCCTATTATCAGACTACACACTGACACTTCTACAGACTGATGAAAAAAACGTCAATTCTAAAACATTAGAAGTGAAATAATGAGTGCTGTGATCCATCTTTGTCATTAGAGAGTTAGTTCCAGCAAACCGTGGTGGAATTCTGTGCTGTTACTAATTTTGACTGTTCCATCCGCAAAGCAGATGCTTTCTGCTTGGACAAACTCATTCATGCTCTTGACAGAGCAGAGGTCAAAAACACTTCGCAGTCAAATGTGGTGGTATTTCATATTGTCGCAGGTGTTTCTGAGGAAAGAGGAGGGATTTGGGACTCCTGAATGGAGGTGGTGACTGAGAAGAGGAGGGGATTGTTCGATGCTATCTGATGACATCAGTCAGTTGAAGGGGCCTCCTGAGGTTCCCGATTGACTGAATCAAGAAAAGAAAGAAGAGAACAGTAACATTTAGTTTTAAAAATATTGTGATCTAAATAGTATGGTCATCTAATTGTGTCATAAAAACTCACAAAGATGAGGTGCAATTTAATACCCTTTTTTCCTGTTCTCGCTTCATTAACGTGTTTTTGTGAAAATCTTAATGTGTGGTCTTTGAATGTAATACATCCCCCACGAACAAATACTGTCTTATATTTGGGCCAATACAGTAACAGGAATGGTTTATCATAGCAGTTAAGCCTGAGCAGCAGGGAATTCCATTACAAATGCAACAGAAAGTCTGTATGTACCTTCCTCTCGTGCCTTCATGCGGGCGACAAAGTTGTAGCTCTTGTTCCTGCGATAGTTCTCATAAGGGTCATCCAATGACACCCCCACACCTTTATACTGGTCCCATTTATCCCTGATGTCTCCACCTTTGATGGGGTCCTGGATGCCCTGTTCTTTGGCCCCCAAACCACCTGAACCACTCCAGCCTACAATAGACATGACAATACAAGAGAAGGAAAGGTACAAGGAGTGTGGTTCATTTCACTCTCATGTAAAGTTTCCAAATACAGCCAGTACATTTTATAGTAAAAAGATCTCAAATATTCTTATTGGAAAATTGAATAAACAGTTTAAATGAAGAAATAAAGAGATAAAACAAAAGAGCATACCCATCTTCATCAGCAGTTGATGGCCCTTGTTCTCCTCCCCTAGCCTGGTATCTGCAGACAGTTTAGGGGGAGGGCCCCCGACCACCGATGTGGATCTGTACAGATCAGAAGAGATGATTATATACAGTAAAGTAAGAGTCTTTTATGAAAGCATCTTATCAAAGAGCAGTGAAGGGGACTTACGGAGGGGAGGAGCTCTCCGATTTAGGGCCTCTGCGTCTCTTGGCAGGTGAATGTGAACGGGATCTGGATCTGGAGCGAGAGCGACTCCGAGATGACCTTGATCTACTCCTAGACCTAAACAGAGGCAGGTTAAGGCATGTTAAGCCGAGGGCCTCAGGTTTTAAAACAGTTGTAATGATGATGAAGAAGCATGATTCACAGTATGTAGGCTGGAGAAACAGCAGGAGGGCAGCTGGAAGAACGTACTACTTTGCTCAGTGAGCTAAGTGTGGGCAGTCAGTTAGCAGAGCAGCAGCTTCAGTCATCCATCTGTACACACAATGTGTTCAGGCACAATATTGAGGGTAGGCCACCGTGATATGACACGCAATCACTATATAACATGTTTAAAACGGGAAAAAATGGAAGTGTAAAAATACACAGACGGCTGTAGTAATTCAAACAGAAGCACACCTGTCAGACACACTTGAGATGGATGACTGAGAAACAGCTCAAACCCTCATGTGTAGACAGGCAATTATACTCCCTCTCTGAAATCATCCACTGCAGGAGCTTAACCAGACATAACAGTCACAGCCAGTGTCACAGGTTCAGTTTCTGTTTCCACTGCTCTTTGCTTTGGGGATAAGTTCCTGGAACTAAATTTAGGTTCTGCTCAGGAGTTGTTGGCAGTGCTGCTGCTCATGAATGGCCATGATGTGCAATCACATTAAAACTAGAGCCAGACCGATTTATCGGCTGATATGAGCTAATTGCATTTAAATCGGCATCAGCGTTTATGACAACAGATATATGACTATTGAAAAAGAAACAGAGTTGGATCCTTCACTCATGTCATAAATGTTCCATAGTTTGCCCACCAGAGGGCGCTCTGCAGCTCCTTTGTTAACAACACTGTCTCACCATGAAAACATTCTTACTTGCTAATTTTTCATTGCCCTCTCCCGGCTTCCTCCCGGCTCACAGCAGCATGTTTAATGTTAGAGTAGTTGGGTGTTGGAGACTACGCTGCTGACAAATGTGATTGTAGTTTTATTTCTGAAACAGTGTGGCAGTTGTAGCGAACAGTCCTCTCCTTTCTCCCCAGTTCATCATTTCTAAATATTCACTAACATTGCTTACAGCAGCTAACGCCGCCCGTTGCTACATTAGCTACAAAGCTAATGCCATGTTTATCAGTGGCAGAGTGCTACTGTCGTAATGAGCCGATAAATAACGTCTGTAATTCTAAAACAATGTAATAAGTGTAGTTTATATGAGAATGGGGTCTACTATCCAAATCATTTTCGCCGGTTTATAAATCAGCTCTTTTTCAATTTAATATCCGCATCGGCCACCAAAAACCCATATTGGCCGGGCTCTAATCAAAACTAGGAGGACTATGACAAGGAGCTAGAGTCAGAGGTAAAAACCAAAAGGTGGGCCACAAGATTTTTTAGTGTCTGGCATAAAACCAAAGCCAAAAAGCGGTTGAAAAATGAAAAAGAATAAACACAGTCATATGAAGATCATAATGCACACAATGTGGACAGCCAAAACTACAAAGTGGTCCATTTTGGGCCACTGACCGGCGTCTGCCAGTCCCTGCTGGGACCTGGATTCAGAGTAAACAGTAATGACATCAGCTCTGCTTCTTTCATTGTTGTCCCACAACTGCTTACTTCACTTTCTACCAAACGATGAAGATAGTTGGTGTTCATTTCCAGATTGGAGAATCATAATATAATTTATCATGTGTTTCTGAATATGATTCATCAAGATTTAACAAATCACAAAAGAAATTATGCAGATACCTGGATCGGGAGTAGGAGCGGGAGTGGCTCCGAGAGCGGGAGCGAGATGACCGCGACCGTGACCTGGAGGACTTGGAGGAGCGAGAGCTGGAGCGAGACGAAGACCTCCCTCTGCTGCGAGAGTGACTCCTGGAGCGACTACCTCCACGACCACTGGAAGGCGTGAGCCATGGAGGGAGGGGGGAGGTTGACAGGTACAGGAAGGATTTAATTCAATGAATCAACAGTGAAAACTAGTTTTTCATTATAAATCCAAACAACTGAATATGTGTGAACTAGGACCATATGAAATCCGTTTTATTTTTCCCAAATTCCATGTTTTCTGTTAAATTTTTTTCTGAATTCTGTGTCTTACAATTTAAACAGATTTTATCATCAGAAAGAGTGTGTAATAATGTGGTGGATGAATACAATTTCAACAACTCAATAAGAAAATATTACAAATGTAATCAATATCAGTGTATCAAACCAAATGTGCATATAGATAAATGTATGGGATTTCTTTATGGGGACAATTCACATGAATTTGGATGGATTTTACTGTGAATTTTCCCCTTTTAAATAGGTTATTAATTGATTACTAATCATTTCTTCCTACAGATCTTCTGCGGTACAGCCTTCATGTGTTGCTTGACGTAGCTTTTAATTTTTTATATGATGGTGGTGTGTGTGTGTCTGCCCTCGGTGAAACACTGACAGAGAGCAGAGGAGAGAAGCAGGCTGCTCGTAAATGACACGTAAATTAAAATAAACATAGCAGTGTAGTTTTTGTTGTGTTAGTTTGTTTGCCTTCAGTACTGTGAGAAAGATGAAAACCCCAATTTTTATAAATGACAACCACATTTTGGCAGATTCTGCAACATCCTGCTTATAACAGCTGATTTCATATTTATTGGCCAATTCTGTGATTCCATCCGGGTCCTAGTGTGAATCATGAAGAGATCGATCCAAGATCCAAAGATCCAAATGAAGAGGAAACTCACCTGTTGCGTTTCTCCTGTCCCTTTTTTCTCCTAGCTCTCATCTTTGCCCTGAAGAACTCATACAGGCCATTCTGCTCCCAGCCTTCACTGATGGAGGAACAGACCACAGCCAGCTGTAAACTCTAAGACCTCCAGCAATTTCTATCAGAAACTAGCAGTAATACTCAGATGCTGCCGCTATACAACTACTGAAAACAATCTGATGATTTCATGATGCTCCTTTACTAGAAACTGATTACTGTCATTTTGAACTATTGAACTACTTTATAATTAAAGTACAAACACCACGCTGAAAATAGCCTAATTCTGATTGACCATGGCTTGTAAAAGTGCGGCACACTTGACAAGAAGACCAACAGTGAAAAGTAGGCACCATATGACTACTGTAGGGTTGGGTTCTGACAGTTTCAATGTTGATGTTTAAACTCTCTCACCAATAAACTTATGAAATCTTTTATCTCCTCTTTTATTGACAATGTGCTAAACATTCTGGTAATGTTGACAGGCTTCTCATTTTATTTACCACAGCCACTTATAGGGACTGACCAATTGATAAATTCTGATTACCCCAATTACAATTTCAAATTCAGTCTAACTTGTCTTGCAGATGGAGTCGACATGTGTGTATACCTGTTCCTAGGCCGATCATGGGATGGAGGACTGTAGAAAGCTTCCACAGCAGCAAGCAGCCGATCACTAGGTGGCATAGGAGGGGGCAGCCGGATGTCTTTAGGGTCCAGAGGTTTATAATCACAGTCCTCGAGCTGAGCAATTGACAGTACGAGGAGGATCATGAGACATGCAGGTTTGACTGTTGAGGGTAAATGAGTTTAATGAGCCTATTCTAAATTCAATTCTAAAACTGTGCTGGTAGTGGATGAGTCTTTTATTTTGAAAACTACAGTACTGTGGCAGATTTACATTGGCCTTCTTGCCAATCTATTTGTGAATTTTTACTCCACACATTACTGGTACTGTTCATTTAATCTGTTTTCTCATGCCCTTGCGCTCAAATCAAAATCAGGTGACTTACTTTGACTAGCGGAGCCATGAGACCAGCTGGCAGGTCAAAGTAGGGTACATTGGGCACCAGACTGGGGTCATCTTGGACCGGATGCTGCCGATGACGCATGTGAGGTGAATGGCCATTGAAGCCGTGTGGGGGTGGACCAAAATCGGGGTGCTGGCCTGCACCCCAGGGAGGATGATCAGCCCCCATACCTGGGGGAGGCAGCCTCTGACTGGGATGGTGATGGGGGGGAGGACCTGGCATGTCTGGGAAACAGAGGTCCATATTCTTAAATATGCAGGAAAAGTAAATTCGGCTCATTTCAACAACATGGCAATTGAAAGTGCTTTACATAATTCATAATTATGTAAACGCAGTCACTCACTGCTCTTGCACACTGTGCCCTGACGCCCACCCTCTGGCATTCTCTCACTCAGTCAAGCTCAATATCTTCAGACGTTTTGCAAACACAATGTCTGAGAAACAACCAGCCGCAAGAACTGCCCATCCCTCCTTAGCCAACAACAACATATAGTACAGAACACGTGTGAACATATCCCGGCTCCACGCGGCGCTTCGCCATCCTGACCGGGATACATCAAAACAGTTGTTTCGTGCCAAGAAGTTGAAAAACAGCTTTTTCAATGAAATAAATACCATTACAGGTCCAACAATATATAGCCTTACAGCTTTTAAGTAAAGTTACTGATCTGATCAATGACTTCATACCTCCAGGATAATCTCCCTGAGCATAGTCAAAGCGGTGTGGGGTGTACGGCGGCCTGTCGTAGTGGTGTCTGGGAGGAAAGTCATCCTGCATAAAGCGTGGTGGGAAGCGTCCAAAATTGTGTGGTGGTGGTGGTGGTGGGGGCTGGTTGAAAGGAGGTGGCTGCTGGTGAGGAGGGAAGGGCCCTCTGAAATGGGGAGGTCTCTATAGAAGTGCACATTAGAGAATACATTAATGTAAGTGAGCAGCAAAATCAAATCTTTGCTGCAACAGAAAATAAATAGTCAAATTCAGACTAGGATATATTGGAATTACAGATAGCACATGTAGAGTATACAATGTATAGTATAAAAACTAGAAATAAAATCAAAACAAAGCAAGTCAATCCAGCATAATCATCTACCACATGCCTGTATGCGTGGAGGAAATGGGGCCTCCCTCTGGCCCCACGGAGGCTGGTCAGGCTGGTTGCCCCATGGCGGCTGCTGGTCATATGAGTTCCATGATGGGGGGCCTTGGTCTGACCCACCTGGACCGCTCCAAGGGCCTCCTTCTCTGGGTGGTCCGCCACTCCAGTTCCCTGGGTCCCTCTGGTCATTCCACATGCCCTCATGGCTGTTCCAGGGAGGGCAAGGAGGGGGGGGCTGGTTTGGGTCAAAAGGAGGCTAAGGAAGGACCAAAGTCAAAAAGGACAAGAGCGTTGCCTGTTACCACAAGTCACACACCCAGTGCATCTGGAGAGTATTCGCAGCGCTTCACTTATTCCAAAATGGATGAAACTCATTATTTTCCTTCATATTGTACAAACAATAGCCCATATTGACACTGTGAAAAAAGTTTGTTTGAAATCTTTGCAAATTTCTTAAAAAAAACAAAAACACAAGCACATGTTCATAAGTATTCACAACCCTTGCTACTCAAAATTGAGTTCAGCAGCATCCTGTTTCCACTGTTCATCCTTGAGATGTTTCTACAACTTGATTGGAGTCCATAAAATGGTAAATTCAGTTGATTGGACATGACTTGGAAAGGCACACCCCTGTCTATAGAAGGTCCCACAGTTAACAGTACATGTCAGAGCACAAACCAAGCCATGACGTCCAAGGAATTGTCTGTAGACCTCCAAGACAGGATTGTATCGCGGCACAGATCTGGGAAAGGGTTCATAAAATTTCTGCAGCATTGAAGGTCCCAATGAGCACAGTGGCCTCCGTCATCCATAAATGGAAGACGTTTGGAAACACCAGCACTCTCCCTAGAGCTGGCCGCCCGGCCAAACGGAGCAATCGGGGAGAAGGACCTTAGTCAGGAAGGTGACCAAGAACCTGATGGTCACTCTGACAGTGTGTCTCTATGGAGAGAGGAGAACCTTCCAGAAGAATAACGATCTCTGCAGCACTACACCCATCAGGCCTGTATGTTAGAGGGGCCAGATGGAAGCCACTCCTCAGTAAAAGGCACATGACAGCCTGCCTGGAGTTTGCCAAAAGGCACCTGAAGGACTCTCAGACCATGAGAAACAAAATTCTCTGGTCTGATGAAACAAAGATTGAACTCTTTGGCCTGAATGGCAAGCGTCATGTCTGGAGGAAACCAGACACCGCTCATCACCTGGCCAATACCATCCCTACAGTGAAGCATGTTGGTGGCAGCATCATGCTGTGGGGATGTTTTTCAGCGGCAGGAACTGGGAGACTAGTCAGGATCGAGGGAAAGATGAATGCAGCAATGTACAGAGACATCCATGATAACCTGCTCCGGAGCGCTCTGAACTTCAGACTGGGAAAATGGTTCATCTTCCAACAGGACAATGACCCTAAGCACATAGCCAAGGTAACAAAGGAGTGTCTACAGGACAACTCTGTGAATGTCCTTGAGTGGCCCAGCCAGAGCCCAGACTTGAACCTGATTGAACATCTCTGGAGAGATCTGAAAATGGCTGTGCACTGATGCTCCCCGTCCAACCTGATGGAGCTTGAGAGGTCCTGCAAAGAATAATGGGAGAAACTGCCCAAAAATAGGTGTGCCAAGCTTGTAGCATCATACTCATGAATACTTATGTCCATGTGTTTTTTTCATTTTTAACATTTCAAACAAATTTCTTTGAAGTTGTCATTATGGGGTATTGTTTGTAGAATTTTGGGGAAAATAATGAATTTCATCCATT